TTGCTTTTGGTATTGTTGGACAGCGAGTTGATGGTGGGCTTTGAACGAGATGATGCACCTATGACATCAGCTGTCGCATCTCGAGCCGCTTCTTGCGCCTCTCTTCGCGCATCGCGCACTTCCCTCTGAACCTTTGTTAGGCGAGGCATGGTGATGCTGTAAGTGCAGTGCAAACGGGAGCGGCCGCTGCTGCCAAGATGTAGGAGCGGTCAAGGATGCGTGCGCTTGCTGGTCAATCGAATGTTGCGTGGAGGAAAAGCTTGGCAGGGCCAATGACGCGCGCCAGCAATACAGGTATGCTCTGTCGAGGTGAATGGTGATGGTAAGCACTGCACGTGCTGAAGCTTGCACGTTGGAAAGGTCAGACTGGTCGATGCTAGAAGCGTGCAGGCCTGCTGGTGGTGTGAGCAGTGGCCGTCGCGCACTCATCGGACTCAATTTCATCTCGCGGCGCGTGAAGCAGCGTGTGCGAGGCTGCGATGCGCGGAGTTCCATTCAGCGATAGGCGTGCATGCAAGCTTCCTCCACGCGCAGGCAGCAAGCACACGCGCGGGGGGCCGAGACAGCCCGCACGCGACATCGTTCGACGCTTCGAGTCAAAGGCACGAGTTAAGCATCGCCCAGCGTAGTCATTAGTGGTGTGTGCGTGTGCGTGTGGAAAGGGGAAAAGCACAGTCAGAGCCGTCTCGAGTCGCGAGTCTAGCCCCGAAGCTGAAGTGAGACAAGTCGAGCGCGTCGAGCGCGAAGCAAGACTCTTCGACGAGACAGGCCTCTGGCACACGCAACGGCAGTTTTGGAACGATCGGTAGGCCATGACTTCGACTGTTGCTTCGTCAAGCTTCTTCGACGCTAACATGGTGGCGCTTGATGAATGCAGGGACAGTCTGAACAGCGCTGCTATCTCAGCTTAGCCTACCGCGAAGCGCATCGTGGGACAAGCGTGCGAGCCTGATTGGACAGGTGCATGCTAGAGCGCGCAATGTCTCAGGCTCGATGGGGCGGGGAGTAGCGATCCAAGTAGCGCATCGGCTTTGAGATCAGGTTAATTGCATAGGCACCTGATTGGCGTAGGAGGTACAGCACCGATGCTGCTAGACAGTCCACCTTCCCTTCAGAGCACGACTGCCACACCTGCCCCTCGCAGCAGACATCACTTCGCCAACTTGCCCTCGGCCCAGCCCTTCGTCTTGCTTGCCATCCTGCGTGTGGGCAAAGACATGAAGGGGGAGGGAAGGCGCATGTTGGGTCAGCGGTACTGTGCAGCATGCATGGCGTCGAGCCTCTTAACTACAGGTACTTAGGCGACTCCACCCGGAGTGCCATGGCATCAAGACTGTGCGCCAAGCTGCGCTACACACGGCGCATCCCTGACCCTGTGCACACAGACGCTGCCCTTCTCCCGTGTTCCATGCAGCGACCACTCGCGCACTCACTCGACGGCAGCAGTGCCCCAGTCCTCTCCATGGTTGTGCGCATTCGCTCCAATCCCAGATCTCTGCTTTGCCTGTTCCTCCGTAAGCGCAGTGAGCACACCTAGGATGACGGGTACGTTGGTGTCCAGTCCAATCCTCATGAGACCGTGCACGCAAGCTTCGGAGATGTATTCAAAGTGCATGGTAGAGCCTTTGATGAGCACACCAATGGAGATGATGGCGTCGAGCGGACCGGATGAGGTTTGAGATTCGGGCTTGGAATCTTCCCCATCCAGCAGCGACGTAGCACCCATCAAATCCGTCGCTGCCGACGAAGCTTGGATTTGAGACGCAGCGATCATTCTGATGAGATGATCACAAGGTCCAAAGCGGCGCAATGGTAGATCAGCGAGGCTGCGATCTGCCTGTCGCGCTCGATCGCCCCGTTTGGCCGTCGCTCGACCAACTCACCTGCTCGTTCCATGAGGCAGCTCCCAACTTCCAGGCACACTTTCGATGTGGATGTTTTCCTTCTTCACACCTGATTTGAGCAGGCTGTCCACACTCCCCTTGACCAGCGCATCGATGCACTCTGTGTTCCACCTGGCATGAACGATGCCGATCCTCAGCGTGGAAGCGAGAGGGAAAGAGGTTGGGGCTGCAGCCGGGCGCTTTTCCAACATCTTGAGGCGAGATCTTGCAGACGGACAGTTGCGTTGTGGATACCCGAGTACGCCGTATGATTCTGATGATCTTCCCTTTGAGTTCGATCGTGTTACAGGATGAAGGAGGGACAGATCGATGAGGATGCAGCTCTTGGGGTCTGTGCTCGAGCGTGCACAGACCTCGCCAGCCCGCGACACCGGCCCCGCGCTCGTGGAGAAGTCGCGGCGGGTCGATGCGCTCAAGCGGGATCGCTTTGGCGCTGCTGCCATTCTCGCACGAGAGGAGACGTGGCTGAGCTTTGGCGGAGCGCGAAAGCCCGCCTTCTGGCGCCGGCGCTGCGTATTGCAGCCATGCAAGCGTGGTGCATCGCGCGGCACAGCCACAACACCTGCAGGCGCGGCCGGGCTGCGATTTGATTGTTGATGAATCGTGAATGCGCAGCACGCGCGGGTCTGGGCGGTGAGGCAGCAATGAACACTTGACCGAATGAACTGCCCTTTTGGGTCGCTATATGCTGTCGACTGTCGACGCTCCTCTTGAAAGTGTCGTCGACTGACTGCATCCACGATTGTGATTTGCGATTCAGAATCACAATCAAGAGCGGCAAGACAAGTAGACGCACAGCAGCGCCAAGGGGGACTTGTGGCGCTGTTGCTGCTGCTGCTGCTCGAAGGTACAGCAGGATTTGCATGATTGTGATCGGCGCAAGTCTCAGTCAGCCGTCGAGCCTCATAGTCTTCTAAAGCACGAATAGTCCCACATCGTGCGAGGTTGAAGTCTCCATCCACTTGATCGCCTCTGTCTCGGTCACGTTCCTCGATCGCTCAGCCAAGCACCAGCACGAAGATTGTCAAGCGTTTCAGTGATTGCGTCGCGCGCAACCAGCATGCGCGCATCTCGTAGCAGCAGGCAATCCGCCGCGCTTTCCGAAGAGGGGGATCCGTTCGCGGATCATCGAAAGGGCAGCG